TCTGGCAGACTGGTCTAAGCCCATCATGGGGTAGGCCCTCAAGTCACACTGGCTGGCTGCATGAATGCACAGAAACCGTCCTTTCTTTACTCCCATCCACACCTGTATTTCCTTCCTTTAGGTCGCAGCTCTCTCTGACCCAGCCACTCCTCACAGCATGTGGCTGATCCTCAAGGATGAGCTGTGTTCCCAGCCTCATTGCTGCGCTCCAGAGCGCTTTGCTGGGGACAAGCTAACCATCTCCAGCTGTCCTTTGGTGCAGCCTTTGCCTGAGGCAACAGGTCCCGATTTGAACTCTACTCTTCACCTGGCTCCCCTGTGTCTTGAACGGTGGCCCTGACTTGCGCTACAGCCTCCCCCTGCTCTCTGCAGGGGCCTCCCGCCAGGCGCCCACCCCTGGACCGTCTACACCTGTCTCTTTTGTCTTTAAGTTCCCCTGACCCACACAGGTTACCTCGGACTACCAGCTTTGCCTTCTGCCGTGCTCTCCAGCTTTGGTCCTGCCCTGCCCAGGCCAGACGGACATCAGCAGACTGGCTGCAAGAGGAAAAGAAATCCCCATCCCGACTGTGACCATGACCCTTCCTGTGGGGACTCTATCAAGGAGCTTGAGAGCCAGGGCCTTGCAGGTTGAGATTCTGGCTATCAGTAGTGACCATGGAGAGGTCACAAATCCTGTGGACTTGAGCATACTTCTCTGTAAATGGTCAAAATGATCAGACTTATCTCACAGGGCCGTTAGGAGGATTTAGAGAGACATTACCTGGGACATCACCATCATGTCAGACCATCGTCTGTGGTCTTACAGTTGTCACCCGTTACTACTATCATCACCGTGCCCATGTCCATGGTATGGTGGTTAAGGGCACAGGCCTGGAGCTAGACTGCCTGCATTTGCCTCCTGCTCCTCCACTTCCAAGCTGTGTGGCCTTGAGCTACACAGCGTCTCTGGGTCTCACTTAGGTCATCCATAAGAGAGGACTAACAGCGGGGTCCACCTCCTTGAGATATGGTGAGCTAGTTCCCACAAAGCCCTTAGAATCTACCTAGGACGTGCCCAACACTCAATGCCAGTGGCTGCTGCTATTACTAGGTGCAGCACTCGGGTCACCCAGGCTGCACGCTGCTTTGCGGGCACGTTTAGGCAATGACAGGGTTCGAGAGCCTCTGCGGGGCTCCACACAGTGCTGGTGTCGACGGCTGACTGTGCTCACCTGACTCACTCCGTGTGAGCCTAACGGGTGGATGGTATTTTCCAGGGACAAGGGGCAATGTGCTCCCGGTTCTAAGCAAATCAGGACGGGGCAAAGCCCAGATCTAAGGCTGGCAAGTCCCTGGGGCTGTTTCTCCAGATCTGTTCAAAGGAAAAAATGCTGCCTACAACAAGATCATGCTTTATGCCAGATTAAACACGACAAACTTATTCAATAACATGAGTTATTGACGATGGAAAAAAAAAAATCCATTCTCTAGAAAACTAGCTTTCACCTGAGGATTAAGGTGTTTTGGCTAAGCCTTCTATGACCCATACTTGTTACTCACAGACTGGGATTCCAGGATTTAAAGATACACAGTTCTGAGCACTGCCTTCTCAAAAGACGAGGGAACTTTCTAGCAAAATTTAAATGCAACAATGGGGGTTGGCAGCAAAACGACCGAGTTTCCAAGTCTAGTCAATACCACGTTTTGTGTGCATGCGTGCACGTGTGTGTGTGTGCGTGTGTGTGTGTGTGTGCGTGCAGTGTAGGATCTAGAAGGCTATTTAAGGTTTGCTCCAGTGACCAAGGGCGAAGCAATGCTTAGAACGTGAGCTGCAATCTTTCTTCCATACGGCTGTGTCTGACAGATCTATGGAAACACAGGGGCACAGAAGGCATTTCTTCAGTTCCCTGTTTCTCATGCTCTTCGCATGCTGGTTTAAAAAAGGAGAGCGTCCCACAGGAACATCTGCAAACCTAAAAATGCAAACCTGTGCAGCTGGTGGACGCTGGGAGATGTCAGTAGCCAAAACATTCGTGGAGGTCCAATCTGTGCACCAGTATGCTTGGGATAAGAATGATGAAAATGCAATCACAGCAAAAAGTATCGGGTGACCCTTGTAGAAGGTCCTCTGTGTCAAAGACTATATTAACGAGTTTAAATGCATTATCATAGACTTCTCCCCAAAACACTATGAAGGAAGTCCTGTTACTCACTAAATTCCACAGATGAGGTGACTGAGCCTTACAGAATGTAAGCAGTTTATGGAAGGCCACCTGTCTTGGCCATGATGAAGGCTGGATTTGAACTCGTCTTCCAAGCCATTAATTGACAATCTGAAAGACTGGGGCTCCTATGAGAACTTCCCAGGAGACTAAGGATGGGGTTAACTCTGGGCCCATCCTACCAGCTCCCTCCCGCCAGCTGTGCTGTCCAGAAAGGGTGGCTGCTAGCTACATGTGGCTACTGAAATTAAATGTAATATCAAATTCTGCTCGGTGCTCTTGAGCACTTGAAATGGGGCTAGCACAGCTGATGGCCTGAAATTTTAATCTCATTTAATTTTCATGAATCCGAATTTCAACAGTCACATGTGGCTACTGGCTTCATGGGGCAGTGCTGATTTCAGGAATTTTTTTTTTTTTTTTTTTTTTTTTGGTAACGGTATCAGACACAGTTCAGGGAGGCTTCTCCTAATCTCAGAGTCAGAGGGACATTCAGTGCTTTGCCCAAGAGCCCACAGAAAATCATGGGGATAAATGCGTCTTCTTTAGGATGTGAGATGGTACATTCTTCAAACATATACCACATGGCCTTTCCAATATTTCCCAACACCTAGATCTCCTAATTTTCTCCTAAGTCACTACATGAGGACAATCAAGTCAAACAGACAAGCCCACGGACAGCTGTTCTCAGATAGTGGCTGCATCAGCTTCAGCAGGAGCTGGTTGAAATACAGGTTCCTGCCCGCCCCCCCCACCCCCGCCATAGGGTCTAATGCGGGAGGTCTGAGGGGACGCCCTGGAGTCCACGTTTGCATCAAGCAGCCAACGTCAAATGCACGTGGTCTAGCTTCGAGAAATGCTGCTTCGGAGGCTGAATTACCTGTTTATCTTCTGGCCTCTTAAATAATTATAGCATATACATTTTTCAAGAACCGCACACACTGGGCTGAAAGCCAGGCAGTCATCACTCGGCACTAACTGCTCGCTTCTCCGACACGCGGTAAGGCGTTTAGTCACTAAGGCCTCATTTTTGTTTCATCTGAAACAGGAGGGTAACGATACCTGCTAGTTGTCCTCTAGTACACACGAGAATATAGACGTGTACGCATCTCAGAGGCATAAGGGTTACAAACATCCTGCGGAGACCTCCTAGGACTTAGAGACCTGTTCTGCTGGTCTAACAGAGTTTAAATAGATTTCACATTTTAAAAATCCCCATGTTTAGCTCGTCTGGAGGCACTGGAAATGTTGGCCACCTGGTATGATGAACAGCACCGCCCGGGGGGTCGAAGGCACACGTTCAAGTCCCCACTCCACCTTTTAAAAGCCAGATGACTTGGGGGCAAATTCTCCAACGTCTCTATGCTTCAGTTTCTTCCACTCTGACATGAGACTCTTAATAGTATAACCATTTTCTAGGGCTGGGAGGGTTTCCTTAAGTGAGTTAATATTTATGAAGTACGTAGAACACAGTCTGGCACAGGGTAAGAGTTACGTTGCTGCTGGGTGAATAATTAAATATCGTTGCACACGGCAACAACCCGCTGGAGCTGAGCTGGGGCTGTCACCTCCGGATGGGGCTGGCACGTACAAGTTCATCACAAGCACCGCCAAGACCCACTGAACTCTGGGGTCCCTGATGTAAGGGGTAGGCGTACGTCCCCCTCCTCGGGTGTTCCACCCATAAGGGAAGCGCATCTTGGGGCAGTCCTTCTCAGCTATCGATGGCGAAGGACCCGTTTTTAATTTTCAACCCACCGTGGGAGAATATGCGACCCTCCTGAGCATGGCTGACACACAGCCCATGCCACACACAACTCACAACCCACGACACCCTGACTGAGCCACACCTGGACCAAGAAGACAAGCCTGCTGGGCACACACTTGGATGTTGCGGCAACGTCAGATCGTTCCAAGAGTTCCTAGACATTATCATTTTTAGTACTTGTCTCGCTGCTGACTGCGGTTAGCTTCCACGCTCAGACTACACATTGAGGAGTGCCGTCTTAGAGAACTTCCACATCCGTCCCCACAGGTCCCACGGGCTGGACCATTTGTCTGGAGAAAGCAGACACTGGATGGTCTCTCTCTCTTCCCCCTTTGCTCCTTTTCAGCCTACTTCCCTTCTCCTGTCTGCCCCCACTTCTTTGGTCTCCATCTACACATTTAAATGAGCTCCCTAATGCGATACTGGAGTTTGGGACAGCCTCAGAAGCTGTCACAGATGCCGTGCTGTCTCAAGCATGACCTGGTATTGCGAGTACAGCTTCTGGCTCACAGCTGCCTCTTCTCCTGAGTGCTGTCCTTGGCCAACAGCACCTGCCATGCCCTCTGCCCCTACCCACAACCTCATCCGGGAGCCACTCTCTAGCAGCCCAAAGCCCGTGACTGACAGATACACAGTACGCGGGACCGTCAACCCCTGTCACAAGAGGGAGCCAACTGTACGATGCAACCCATCCTCCAGAGGCCCCTGTGGGGTCAGGCTGCAGTCAGATGCCAGCCCAGACAGCATTCTCTGCTTGGCTCCTCCCCCAACGCCGGCCTGCCTCTCTGACTCCCCTTCCCCGGTAGCCCGCCCTCACTGTGTCCCAGGCATCCTCATCCCTGCCTCAGGCTCTGCTTACAGGGAAAGTGATCAAAGACAGAAGCCATCTGAAACCACGCTTTCCCTCCCCGACACCCTGCTGGAGGAAAGCACATGGCAGGAACAACACGAAAGTCCTGAAGACCAGCCTTGGGTCACCTAGAGATCATTACCTCTTGCGTTCTGTTTTCCAGGTGACCAGAACGTACCTGTTGCATTAGACAGGGCCAGTGACTCCATGGAGCCTGGAGGGGTCTGCTCTGTGGGTGTCATGTTCTCGGTGTACTTCAGGGAACTGATGGGATGGCGGGTCCGACACTGCTGAGTGGCTATGCCCCCTTCCTCCTCCTCCTCCTCCTCGTATTTGGCTACTGGGATGTTGCCTCGGGTCTCACTAAAGCTCTGACTCGACATATCGCTGTAGCTCTCCTGGGATCTCAGCCTTCCCGGGTAATAGTCCTCTCGGCATTCCTTCATGAAGCTGCCACCATGCCCCTTCATGGCCAGTGATGAGCTCCTTTTGGGGTTGCTGAAGTGCTTGGCCCACATGTCGGGCTGGGCCCCGGCCCCCTGCCCTCCCGGACTGTAGGAAGTTCTGATGTTGCACTGGCTGAGAAGCTGCAGGGGACTCTGGGACTGGTTCTGCTCCATCTTGTTCCCGTAATGGTAGGGCTCGTCCCGGCTCCGCCAAATGGGGTCCCGGTTGAGGCTGGGCGTCTGGCTGGACAGGCTGAGCATGTCCATCTGTAGTGACAGGGGGTCCACGTCGGCCGACAGCCGGTTGGAACTCACCTGCAGCTGGCTGTGCTGGTTTAGCATGGGCTCCTCCGTCTTGCCCTTGTTCTTGCCAATTTTGGCACTGCGCCGGGACTCCTTAGCCCTGGCATTCTGGAAGGCCGAATCGGATGAGTCAGAGCCATTGGGGTCCTCCCCGGCACTGCAGGCCCGTGAGCAGAATATCTGGCCCTGCTTTGGGAGGAAGGGCCGCCCCAGGAGGGATTTCTTACAGTGAGCACAGCAGAAACAGGTCTCAGTGGCATGCCAGTGTTGGCCGTCATAGGTCATCTGACCTTGGTCGATCCCTAGGGATGGAAAAGACATGAAAGAGGCTGACAAGTTAGCTTGGAGGCCTATATTAGGATGTGAGACACACAGCATCCTGGTTTGGCCCAGGGTTCCAAATACAACAGAATAAAATAATTATAAATCAATAATCAGGACCTCACATAGACGGTATTCACGTCCCTTTATGAGGACCCCCTTGTTCTACCAGCCAGCTGCTTCTGAACTCATTTGCTCTGAGCAGAGAAAAAACTAGATCAAAATGGCCTGTCCATGAATCCTTCTGCCTGGGACAGATTCTCATTACTAACACAAGATACAGAACTGCTTTAAGTGCTCTGCATATACGTAAAGTCATTTAACTCCACCACTGTATGAGGTAGGTTTCTAATATGATTTCCATTTCTCAGATGGGAAAACGGAGGTACAGGAGGGCTCAGTAACTTGCCTCACTCAATGCAATTAGGAATCTCGGGTGAGATCTGTACCTGGAAGTCTTGCTCCTAACTGAGAAACTAACATTTCCTTTTCACTCTCCCTGGGGGTCTGCTCCAATGCCAACTCCTTAGAGAAGTCTCCCTACACACCTGATAGCATGTTCTCCACGGCTCTTCACCCTGATCTGCCGTATTTTTCTTCAGAGCATGAGCCCTGCTGGACAACACACGACTACATGTGTGCATTTGCTTATTAATTCTCTCCCCTCTGCAAGGGAAGTTCTAGGACAACAGGGTCCTTCATTTTCTGTGGCACATCCAGGAACATGGCCTGACATATCGGAGGGTCTCTTTATAGGTTGAATGGATAACCTGAAGCCCAAACCCCCACGGGCCATTCAGATGAAAAAAATCACTGTTAACAGTTCAGTGGGAAACAAAAAAAAATGGATTTCAACACTTGGTAAGGAAAAACCTGGGTGTGGTTCATCAAAAGCAGCCTCCATAAGCATGCACACCTTTTGCTTAATGTCATCAGGGAAGGAAGAAACACACTTGCTCCCCACGCAAGGGCTGTCCCTGGTTTGCATAATCTTGTTACACCTGCCCTGCTGGAACCTTCCAGAGGCCCAAGGGCTCTTGCTTCTCAGCATCTCTTCTGCCCCCTGCTGGTTCCAGGCCTCAATCTCTCTGTGGGCCACCAACTTCTTGCCATCGTTGGGCCATGAGCTTTGGGCAGGGCTAAAGCCATGCCTGGACCTAGTACTGACCAGTAAAAAACTGTATTGCCCAACCTGGTGGCTGCTTTCAGAGTGGACCTAAGACCTGCACTAGTCCAATGGGAGAATTATGTGGACTCCCGTAGAGCGCCTCCCTATGTCATTATCTCAGCAAGGTGCTCTTTCTACAGCAGTTGCTAAGCTGGTAGGATGGAAGTCTGGATGCCAGGGGCGGTGGGGGGGACCCGTTCCTGTAGGGAGTTCCTATGGGGGATGCAGTCTCATGCAAGTACTATAGAATGGAAGGGGCAGTCGGGGGTGAGCATAGCCCTGTGCAGGGGAGGGCGGGGAAGACGGAGCCAGCCCCAGAGCCTTTCCTGGACTGCACCCGGGCAGTGGCCCTCGGAGCAGAAAGGGAGCTGGGCACCCTTGCCCTGTGTAAGACTCCTGATTTCTGATAATAAAAATCTTTCCAGAAATGGAGTTCTACTGTTGAACCTCCACCTTTAGGGGCTAATAGTCCGGAGCCCGGACCTTCCAGGAATCACCTTGAGAGCTGCGTCTGGAGAGGTAGTAAATGAGAAACTGGAGAACGACCTCTAAAGAGAAGGACAAGAACAAAGGGCAAAAGCCAAGCAGCTGTCCTGGCCTCCTCTGCTCCCTGCCCCTACCTTCAGGTCCCTGGAGCCCAGGGAGAGAGAGGCACAAGGCTCTACCTCTCTTATGAGCTCTGTCCCAAATTAAGGGGTCTCGGCTGATTTGGAAGTCTGGCCCTAGGGATGAAGAGGGGACTTTCAGAGGGACAGGAGTGCCACAAAGGCCCCTGGAAGGCAAAGCGGTCACTGTGGAAATCCACGCCTTTGCATCAGAGCACTCCTGGGAGGAGTGAGAACTGACGGAGCGGGGCTAGGGATGGGACCCAGAGTTAGGGGACCCAGAGCTGCGGCTCCATCTGCATTTTGTCCCCAGGCTCCTGGGAGGAAGCAGGGCAGGCCGCGCGGGAGGCCGAGGTCTGGAGTCATGCAGAGGGAGGCTTCAGGAGTCAGTGAGGAGTCTGAGGAAGAAGGTTCCCATCCCGGCTGCATCCCATTCCAGCCGGCTGTGACACAGCTGCCGAAGCCCATCTGCCCAGGGTCTGATCTCGGCCCCGTGGCTGTGTGACCTTAAGCAAGTGGCTTGATCTCTCTGTGCCTCAGTGCCCTCTGCAGCAACATGGGGATGACAACAGGTCTGGCTTCCCAGGGTTGTTGTGAGTTAATATGCAGACGGTGCTTAGACCTGTATCTGCCAACTACTCTCACGTCTCTTTTTCTCCCATTTTCATTACCTCTTGATGCCCAGCTCCCTTTCTACTCCGAGGGCCACTGCCCGGGTGCAGTCCAGGAAAGGCTCTGGGGCTGGCTCCGTCTTCCCCGCCCTCCCCTGCACAGGGCTATGCTCACCCCCGACTGCCCACCATCCCCAGCAGCGGCAGCCTTCCCCGCTCCCTGTCAGAGGCACACAGGAAGCCTGGTTCCCGGGTTTGTCCCCCACCAGCTGCCTCTCTGAGCTTCTGCAAGGAAGCTGTGCTCCAATGTGGCAGTGGGGCCCCAGTAGTGGGGATGCGGCCTTGCAGAAGGCTGGACTGGGGTGAGGCGAGGCGAGCAGAGGGGAGGCAGGTGACAGACAGAACGGCCCCAGAGGCCATGCAATGCGGTCCCTGAGCAGCATCCCTGATGTCAGACGGTCCTCTGAACTGCTCCTGAACTCAAAACATCTGGAAAAGGGCTGTGCTGTTCCACATCTAAGCGTTCCTTTTTAATTCCCCCCTCTAAGCTCTGTAAGCCCTTCTCGGAGGGTGTGTGTGTCTACTGCTGCTCTAGCCTCGGTCTGTTTATAGGACTGTTTACTCGGCGGTGCGCAGGCAAAAGTACCGTTGCCCTGGCAACGGCCGCCTGATGCATGGTCCACTCTGAGCGGCTGTATAAATATGGAATATTTGTGTAATACGGTCAGAGCAAAGCACCAGGAGATAGCGTTATGCAGGGTATACACAGCACACCCTTTCACTGTTGCAGGAAAATGAGGTTTCACAGAAAAGTAGATGAAGGGAGAAACCAACCAGGGACCACATTTGAACTACAGCAGTGATAACACTGCAGGCCACAGAGGTCCCCCTCTCTGGCAAAACACTGATGCTTTTTTATGGATTTACAAAGCAGGAGAAGGCAGTGCCGATCAAAGTGGTGAACAGCTAGAAGGGGAGAGAAAGAGAAGAAGACAGCGGGGCTTTCTGAGGCGGACCTGCTGTGGTGACAGACAGATTTTTCTCTCTTCCAAGTTGCTGAGCAAACATTCTAAGTGGCAGTTTCTGGAGAGGCTCTGAAGCCTCAATGGAAAGGGACAGAAGAAACAGCAACACTAGCGAGAAGGGGGGGTGTGGTGGTGGCAGGGGAGCGTCCGTACCCTCGATGCCTACTGGTGGACCCAGAATCCATGCACAGCGAGGCTGGCTCCGAGACCGGCACAATTCCCCCCACCCCTTCCGACACAGCCCACCTGGCCTTCCTCACGTGGCCAGCCACCTGTCCACAGAGAGCTCCCCGTTTCCTAACTCTTAGCATCAAAGCAAGTCTGTTTCCTTGTTTTGATCTTGTGAGAAAGGAAAGCCAGTGGGTCCTTGGTTGAGGCATCAGGCGGTGAGAGGGTGAGGCCGTCAGGGCTGCAGGGGGAGTTGAATTGGACTATCGCCCAGGCCCCGGTCAAGGACTCCAGCCCCGAAAGGCCTCCTAGAAGCAGGCCTGAGTCCAGGGGACAGACTGCTGGACCACAAAGGACCCCGAGCACACAGTAGATGCGTTGTCTGCAAAGCTGTGATTTTTACCAGCTCCCAAAGCTCTCCAAAGGACTAGCTAGGTTTTCATTGGAATATATCACTTCTGACGAGGCAGGGAGGCCATGTCCCTTCTTTCGGTTCCTGATAAAATCCTTGACGTGGGGCAAAATGGGCTCCCAGACGGATTCCCTCCACATCTCCCCACCAGAGGCAAGAAACTGGTGGCTTCTGAGCAGATTTCGTGGAAGGGTACAAGCCGCAGGAAGAGCAGGCTGCTGGCCTCTCCAACAGTCACCCCCTGCCAACTCTTTCTTTTCCCTTTTAAAGGGTGGCTCCTTCTCAAGGTGCCACAACAGGCAGGTTGGATGAAGAAGCCACAGACACAGCCTGGTCTGGAAGAGCGCTGAAGGGTTGAACAAATCGGTTTTTTGCGAAGGGAAAATGATCTCCACCGCCTCAGATCTGCTGCTTCTTTGGGGGAGTTTATGGCTTATAAGCTATTTCAGGTTCTCTTGCTTTGTATTTGGCTGGGTCAGCTTTAGCTGATTTTTTTAAGGACGTGCTTGCTAGAAACCATTTGGTTTTCTTGACAACCCCTTCCTACAGAGAAGACTATGCTGTCCTCCCTCTGCTGATCCTCAAGTTTTCCAAGGAGACTGTGGAAGACATCTGTTTATATTTCCCTCGGAGTTTCCTTCTGGGACCTCTCCCCCTCCCGCGGGTAGGGGAGCTGTACATCACATAACCCCATGTCGGGGGTGGGCCCATGACTCAGGCAGACCAACCGAAATACCCTCTTCTCTTGTTTCTAGGGTGAAACCCGTGACCAAACCAGGGATACTAATGTTCGTATTTGGAGGAGCTGATTTGGATACTCGGACAGACGTGGCCCCACTCCTTTTGAGAATGCAAGTGCTAAGGCTCTGTATAATTGGGCAGTCCTCTTAGCCAGCATGCAAAGGCAGCTCGCTTTTTACCAACGCCAACAGAAGGCAAGCAGTGCTGAGACACAAAGGATAAAAAGACCTCCAGACTTTAAACCCTTGAGCCATCCATACCTGAAGCAAACCCACTCCTTGGCCTTTCCGGAAACGTGAGCCAAGAAATTCCCTCCCCCCCTCTTTTTTTTTCACTTAAGTCAGTATGACTTGAGAGCCAAAGGGCTTCTAACTACACCAGACACCAGGAGACCCAGTCACAGTAGGACTAAGCTAAGTACCAAACATTGCCTCACCTATGTGCTGGGCACAGGTGTCGCAATATTCCGCATACAAGGACTCGAAGCAGTGGCAACAGTAGGGCCTTCCCTCCTTCATGATGTAGCGCTGGCCACCAAGCACCGTCTCGCACTCGAAGCAGCAGAAGTGTTTCATGTGCCAGTGCCGCCCCTCAGCTTCTGTGCATTCGTCTGCAAAGATGATCTAGAGATGGGGAAGCCAAAGGATCAGTGGTTAACACCCAGCCAGGAGAATGCACTTTAATGGAGAAGAGCTTACGGGGACCCCAAACTAGAAGGATGGGAAAGCAAGACTTTGCCACAATTTACTCAATTAAAAAATCTATCTGTATATGCCCTGTCCTACATCTTCATCAGTGAGCGCACTGAGATTTGCCTAAAGCACAATTAACCACAGTTTTTGGTCTGGCCAGATACTAACTGAACCACATTTTAATGAGAAATAAAGTTCTACCCTGAAGAATAAAAAGCAAGACCAGACACCAATGGCTCGTGGGCACTTTGGACAGCATGTCCACGTCTTATTTGGCTGACGCAACATCTTTTTAAAAATAGGAAATGTCATTTTAACACTTAGGCTCCTGGTTTCTTTGTTGAAAACAAAATATTTGAGAAGGAGGACTCCTGCTTCTAGATGAGTGGTCAGTTCTCCAGTTTGGTCCTTTCACCACTCACTGCTGTCTTAAAATGAGTCACCTTTGTGTACACAACCTGCCTTGCCCTAGGAAGCATTTGTGTTTTGACCTCTAATATAGACTTTTTAAATTTCAAAGCACGGACTTCAAAGGTGACTACAAACCGTAGTAATCCAGGCAGTGTGGTCCTGGTATAAGAACTGACATATAGATCAATAGAAGAGAACTGAAAGTCCAGAAACAAACCCAAACATTTATGGCCAACTGCTTATCAACAGAGATGCCAAGGACATCCAGTGGGGGAAGGAACGGTCTTTTCAACAAATGTGGCTGGGACAGCTGGGTCACCACATGCAAAACAACGAATCCGAGTCATATACAAAAATTCATATACAAAAAAAAAAAAAAAAAAAAGAGATCAGAGACCAAAGGAGCCATAAACTATAATGCTTACAAGAAAACACAAGTGTAAATTTTCAGGACCTGGATTAGGCGATAGTTTCCTCAGCTATGCCATTGCAAGTGTAAACAACAAAAGAAAAAAAAAAAGGTAAATTGGACCTCATCGGAACTAAACACTTCTGTGCTTCAAAGAACATCAAGAAAATGAAACTGTAACCACAAAATGAGAGAAAATAGTTGCAAAGCGTGTATCTGACAACTAGGATCCTATCTGAACTAGTATCTGAACTAGTATCCAGAATATGCAAGCAACTCCAGAATAGAAAGAAAAATCGCTCAATTAAAACAAAACAAACAAACAAAAAAACTGGCGGAGGATTGGAATACACAGTTCTCCAAAAAAAAGAAGATACACACCGCCAATAAACACATGAAAAGATGCTCAACGTTATTACCCGTCAGGGACAGACGTATCAAAACCATAATGTGGTGGGTATTAAGGAGGGCACGTATTGCATGGAGCACTGGGTGTGGTGTATAAGCAATGAATTTTGGAACACTGAAAATAAAATTAAATAAAATTTAAAGCAAACAAACAAACAAAAAGAACCATAACATGATACCACTTTGCACCCGCTACCATAGCTTCTCTGAAAGAAAGTCTGCATTCCCTCAACTTGGGCACAGAATTACCACGTGACCCAGCAATTCCATGCCCACGTATATACTCAAGGAAACAGAAAATATATGTCCACACAAAAACCTGCATATGAACGTTCATAGCAGCACTGATCATAATCTCCAAAAAGTGGAAAGAACTTAAATGTCCATTAACTGCCTCTACCTAACATGACCTTTACACGTGACTGAATATTACTCAGCCTTGGGAAGGAATAATATACCTATACACTACAGTGTGGATTAACCCCGAAAACATTACACCACGTGAAAGACCACTTCCAGAAAAGATCACACATTGTCTGATTCCACTTATGTAAAAGGCCTAGAAAATGTAAATTCATAGAGACAGAGAACAGATTAGTGGCCAGGGGCTGGAGAAAGGGGGAGAAGGGAAGGGACTGCTAATAGATACAAAGTTTCTTTTGGGGTGATGCAAAGGTCCTGGGATTACCCATCAGGGAGAGTTGCACAACTTTATGAATATACTAAAACCCCACCAAACTGGACACCTAAGAAAGGTGAATTATATCTCAATAAACAAAAATTTCAAGACACCTCAATCATCATATTCTATTTGCCATTAGGTAACAATAAAGTATTAGGAGCACTAATTTCCAGAAGTAGAAACTGAGACAGGAAGGTAAAGTGGCTGCTTGAATCCTGGTGGAACTGAATTCGGTTTCCCAAATACCCGTCTAGAGGGTCTCTCCAGAACATCACCAACAGCATTAGAATCCAAATTAGTTAAGGCTGGCCAACTTCCTCCTAAAAAAGCAAACCCTCCTAGGCAGGCAGGAGTGGGCTGTGGCTGAGAAAGGGGAGTGCTGCTTTGCAGAAGCCCACACCACCGTTTGCAGGGTCAGATGGAACCAGAAATCCACTCTGTGCAGAAGGAAACCCCTATCCAACATCTTTCCCATATTATTCCCATAAAAGTGGTCAGGTTTAGAATATTCTCTTTTCTCCTCCAAACTTTTTTTTTTTTTTTTTTTTTTTTTTTTACTTTTTACAGGAATATAAGCTCCAAACTTTTGAAGCCAAAACAGCTATTCTCTTCTTGCAGCTTACAGATCATATCTGGGTGTGCTCCTGGTGGGAGAAAACACCAGGCACAGGCTTGGGGGTTCTAGTCCGCTTTGTGACCTGGGGTAGCAAACTCAAGGACCTCTCAGAGCAGGGCTCTCTCCTAAGGGAGTATGCATCTGCCTCCTGCATCCCCATCAGAACGTTTGTAAATCATGGGGACACTAAATTGTGCCACCAAATGTCCCTCTTCTCAAAACACTTTGTCCCACTGGAGCTCAGGAATCCCAACTATTTTAAGAGTTCAGAGCCACACCATGACTGATGATTACTCCCGGCTGAAATCTAAAGCGGCCCAGTGCCTCTCTTTGACAGTTCGGAACTGCCCTAGTGCCAGCGACTCTCAGCTACAGACACTGTCTTCTGGCCTGGATGCCCAGGACTCGTCCACTTCCAGATGGGCCAGCAGGCAGGGAGGGCTGGGGCTTCTCCCGCGAGGCTTAATATAGGAAGACGGAGCGGCCTGTGGCTTCCCTCCATGCAGAAGAGCACAGGACCAAGTGAGGCCCAGGGCCACACCAAGGGGTGATGGGCGGGGCTGGCCCCTCCCACCCCACCCCCCACCCCGCCCGCAGCTCTGACCTCGTCGCAGGCTGCGCAGCGTGGCTTCAGGCACTCAGCATGGTGCCGGCCACAGTAGATCTTCCCGTCTTGGTAAAAGTAGATCAGATCCACCAGCAGCTCGTTGCAGACGGTGCAGATGAAACACGGTGGGTGCCAGCAGACACCGTGGCCGGCGCGCGACGCAAACACGGCGATGTCCCCGCCATTAATCTGGCCTCCGCACTGCGAGACAAGCGGACAGGTCAGTCCAGATACCAGCCCCGTCTCTGCCTCTCCAGGGTCACGCGTAGAAGATAAGAGACCACCGCTCCCATGGAGGGCAGGTGGCGGGGCGCTTGTTTTCAAGCTGGACACTGTGCTCCCTGCCTTAGTACACGGCAGGGCAGGTTTTGCTTTCCCTCCCTCCCATTCTTCTTCCTTCCAAGGAAGACAAAGAAAAAGTCGCTGGGAAAATCAGGACTCACAAGGTGGGAAATTCAGAAAAGCTCCTTTAGCATCATGACACACTGGAGCTCTACAGGCAGGGGGCAAACCCACCGGGGCTGAAGGTGTCCATATTTTCTAGAAGCTCCCAACTCCATCCCAGGGCACAGCCCACATTTAACACCAGGAGGAGTGGTTAGGGTGGTGGTGGAGGGGAGGGTTGCAAGAAGGGTGCTGTACCATGGGAGAGGAGTGGCTCCTGGGTGGCTCAGTCTGTTAAGCAGCTGTTTTCAGCTCAGGTCATGATCCAGGGTCCTGGGATCGAATCCCACATTGGGCTCCCTGCCCAGCATTAAGTCTGCTTCTCCTTCTCCCTCTGCTTCTGCCCCTCCCCCTGCTTGTGCTCTCTCTCTGTCAAATAAATAAAATCTTAAAAAAAAAAAAAAAAAAAAGATGGGAGAGGGAGGGACGCCTGGGTAGCTCAGTGAGTTAAGTGTCTGCCTTCAGCTCAGGTCATGATCACAAGGTCCTGGGATCGAGTCCCACATCGGGTTCCCTGCTCAGCAGAAGTCTGTTTCTCCTCCCTCTGCCTCTGCCCCTCCCCCTACTTATGCTCACTCTCTCTCTCTGTCAAATAAACAAATAAAATCTTTAAAAAAAAGAATAAAGAAGATGTGATTGATATATGCAACAGGATACTATGCAGCCATCAAAAGAAATGAAATCTTGCCATTTGCAACAATATGGATGGAACTAGAAGGTATTATGCTAAGTGAAATAAGTCAGTCAGAGAAAGACAATTATCATATGATCTCTCTGATATGAGGAATTTGAGAGGCCGGGGGGGGGGTGTCATGGGAGGAAGGGAGGGAAATGAAACAAGATGGGATTGGAGGGAAACAAACCATAAGAGACTCTAAATCTCAGGAAAGAGACTGAGAGTTGCTGGGGGTTGGGGGGGTAGGGATGGGGTGGGCTGGGTTATGGACATTGGGGAGGGGCATGTGCTATGGTAAGTGCTGTGAACTGTGTAATCCTGATGATTCACAGACCTGTACCCCTGGGCCAAATAATACATTATACGTTAATTAAAAAAAAAAAAAGATGGGAGAGGGAGTGTGCTCATAAAAGTACCTTAACAATTTCCCCAAAGCTTTTCAGGCATGTTTGCAGTCTGCTTTCTCTAACATCTTTTTGCCTAGTCTTAACTGAAAAGGTTCCACTTCTAAGGCCACGCTAGGGAAGGGGCTTCTCTCCCCCTTTCCTGTCATCTCTCTCATGTTCCAAGTTCCTCTCCCAAAGCAGAAAGGAACAAGGCAGCATCTCTGATAACCCACGTTATAGCTGAGGTTGGGCCTCGGAGGGAGGAGTAAAGTGTGAGATGGTGGGTCCAGGGAAAGGCTCTCTGCTGACCATGGTGTATTTAAATAAATAAATATTTATTTATTTATTTATTTAAAGGCTCTCTGCTTGGCCATGAGGTTCACAAGCTGAGAATCTAGTTACTCGGCCCTACGTGAGTGGCTGGCTTCGGAGACAACGTCTAAAGGGTAGAAAAGATACCTTCAAACCTTCCCCACACCACAGCCATCATATGGGATTAAATGATTCATAGGAAATGGAGTCAAGGTCTCATGGAACGGTCTCTGGGAGCTCATTCAGGTAGTGACCAGACAAAAGAAAGACACTGTTAACACAAAGTACTACCCTTGCCTTTGAGAACATTAGTAGACCTGGGATAGGCGCAGTGGTAATAGATGAACTGAAACACATTAAAAATTTCAAGGGTTTATTTGAGCAAATACAGATTTAAGTTGGGCACTGCCCAAATGAAGGTGGTTAGGAGGCCTTCACCTACCTGGAGCTAGGAGGGAGGTGCTTAGAGAGAAGACGGGGGGCAGGGGGCAAAGCAAGGTTATTATTTGACTGGCTGCAGCTTAAGTGGTTGCCTTATTTGAGAAAACTTAGTTGCCTGTTGGCGATTGGTTAGTCTTCAGTGTTATTTTCTCAATACTAAGACACTGCCTTTGGCTTGGGTTTTGGTTTGCTCACGTAGGTAATGAAGGTATCAGAGACATCTCAGTGTCAAGGCCTCCTTGTTCAATTGCTTTAACAATACAGAATACAGAATAAGGTAAGGGAATCCTCACCTTAATTCCATGATGGAGGCATTTCGCAGATGACAAAGTGGAGGAAAAATAACAGGGGCAAGGTTGTCTGGCAGAAACATGAATCAAACTTCTCTGCCTCCGTGCTCTTGTCACTATTCTACACAACTTTTGATACCTGCACATGAAATGTCCAACCTTCCTTTGTCCTTAAGAGAGTGCAGCTGGGCTGGTTCTGGGGGACCGATCTCAGAAGGGCAGAATTCCTGATACGAGGACACCGAATCTCACATATTTTCTTTCCTTTTCTTTTTCTTTTTTTTAATTTTAACTTATTTTTTAAACTGCTGTTAAGTATTTTTTAAAGGATTTACTTATTTATTTTAGAGAGAGAGAGTGGGGCGGGGAGGTAAGGACAGAGGCAAAGGGAAAGAGAAACTCAAGCAGATTTCTCACTGAGCAGGGAGCCCAACGCCGGGCTCGATCTCACAACCCTGAGATCACATCTGAGCTGAAACCAAGAGTTGGACACTTAACCAACTGAGCCACCCAGGTGGCCCATTTTTTAAAAATATTTATTTATTTATTTTGAGAGAGAGATTGAGAATATGGGCGGGTGAGGGACAGAGGCAGAGGGAGAGACAATCCTCAAGCAGACTCCCAGTGAGTGTAGAGCCTGATGTGGGGCTCGATCCCAGGAGCCTGAGGTCATGACCTGAACTGAAATAAAGAATCGGCTGCCCAACCGACTGAGCCACCCAGGCGTCCCCCTCCTTTTTTCTGTTTCCCGAATCTCACATCTCAACCACTGACCACCTACATCTCAAGGGTGAGTATCGGGGTGAAGACCCCACTTCCCAGCCTCTGGTCCTGTGCTCCCCCTACTAAGGAGCATCTCCATCCCCCTCCAATGTCTCTGAAATCTCAAAGAGGGGCCACAGAACGGCACCCACTCTCCGCAGGGAGTAGCTCTACTTCTCACTGAGGCAGCTCCCTCATGGTCAGCACCTGAGTGGTTTCCTGGAGAGCTTCAGGAGCTGGACGAGGCTTTTCAAAGAGCAGCAAAGCCAAGAGCAGGGCCAGAGTGAAGGCTGAGAGGAGGGGCAGGGAGAACCCAGGCAGGCTGCCTGTCCACCTTTCTTTAAAACCCTCCGCCCCTGGGCCCTGAGTGCTCTGCAGGAGAGTAGCAGGAAAAACCACCCCCAGACCCAGCTCAGTGAGGCCCTGGGGAGGATGCAAGGGGGAATGCATGCATTTCCCTAAAGAACCCTCAAACCCAGGATGACCCTTTACCACCTCTTTAAGTGGCCCCGGGTGGATGCCATGGTCCAGGCAAATTTCATTTTCTAAAGGGCTCGTTATTTATTTATTTATTTCCTTTTAATGAACATATAATGTATTATTTAACCCAGGGGTACAGGTCTGTGAATCGCCAGGTTTACACACTTCTTAGCACTCACGGTAGCACATACCCTCCCCAAAGTCCATAACCCCACCACCCTATCCCTACCCCCCACCCCCCAGCAACCCTCAGTTTGTTTCCTGAGATTAAGAATCTCTTACGGTTTGTCTCCCTCCCCGGTCTCATCTTGTTTCATGTTTTCCCTCCCTAGCCCCCACGAGCCCCCCGCCCTGCCTCTCAAATTTAAAGGACTCATTTTAGGCTATAAATCCATCATGTCTTTCCTGTGCTTAAATCCCTCAGACGGCTTCCCATCGCCTTCCAGTGGCGAGCACAACTGGCCCTCCACGCACTTTGCTTTCACGGCCTCCCTCCGTCCCTCCACTCTCTCTTCTGCGCCGCAACGGCCCATGTGTTGGTCCGGGAACACAACAGAAAAGCTTCCGCCTCCGAGCCTTTGAGCGGCCTGGTCCCTCCGCCCTCTGAGATCTGCAGGACCCACTCCCTCCGTCCCTGAAGCCTTTGCTCAGAGGCCACCTTCTTCTTTTTTTTAAGATTTCATTTATTTATTTATTTGAGAGTGAACGCAAGCAAGAGGCAGCACGAGGTGGGGAGGGGCAGAGAGAGAGGGAGAAGCAGACTCCCCGCTGAGCAGGGACACCCCCCTGCCTCCCCCTGATGGATTCCATCTCAGGACTCTGAGATCATGACCTGAGCTGAAGGCAGACGCTTAAGCCACTGAGCCCCCCAGGCACCCCCAGAGACCCCACCATCGAAGTGCAGCCTTGCCTGGCCACTTTCCTGAAAATCGCAAGCTCCCCACATCCCCCAGGGTTTGCAGCCTCCTTCTCTGCTGTATTTTTTCCGCTTTATTTTACTGTTTGACTTCTTCCCCTAGAACGGACCTCCTTACGAGGACAATCAAAATCTTTCAACAGCTTTCACATCTTTTGTTCACCGCTGTACCGCCCAGAGTGAGAACCGGGTCCTGCCCCCCCGGTAGGCGCTGCAGGGCACAGCTGTTGAAGGAACCGCCCGTGCGTGACGTGACACCGGCGCGATCCCGCCCCGCACCCCGGACTCCACGCTCACCTGTTCACAGATGGCCCCTGTCATCGTGACGGGGAAGGGCCTGACATTCCCGCGGCCCAAGTTTTCGCGTTTCCTCTGGTTGCTGAAGAGCTTCAGCTCCCTCTTCTCTTCCTCATCCAGCGAGTTGCAATATCGAACCTGGACAGACACAGAGAGAGGGTCACGGGGGACGTCGTCCCCTGCCCCGTGGGATTTCTGCAGCCCGCGCCCCAGACTTCTCATGACATGTGCTCCCACTCGCCTTTACAGCGCCAGCCTGCACTGGCCCACCAGCGGGCTCGGGGCTGGAGAACGTTGAGTTCCTACTGAAGACGAAAGAGCTGACCAAAGGTGCCCAAGTCCGGAGCCCGAGTCATGAGCAGGCTCAAGGCTCAAGGCTCTGAAACTGTCCCGCAGCCTTGCTACCCTGCCCTCCTGCCCCACGAAGGTCCCCATCATGTCGGGAAGCTCTGAAGCTAGTCAAGATGTGGGACTTTTTCCTACTTTAAAAAAGGATGTGGAACTTCAGACAGATTGTGGGGTCCTGATACATTCACCTCCCTGCATCCATGTGAGTGACCCCTGACACCAAAGGACGGCTCCAGGCCAGTGAGCTGGAACAGCGGTCAGAGGGCTCCCAGCTGCTTCTCCCACCTCGTTTTGGGAAAATGGGGAACCAAAGGCTTGAAGCAAAGGAGTTGGTCCAGAGGTACGTGTCCTGCTTCATAGAAGTCCCTGTGTGTTTATCTGTGCGCAGGAGGGGAAAGGGCTGCCCACTGGTCTGTGGCTGATCCGTCTACTTGCGCGAGATATTTGCCCTCTTGTTAAACATGAAAACTCCCAGCATTAAGGGAGGGGCACTACGGACACTCAAATCCAAGATTTCCCGGTCTTCCCCCTGATTAACACATACCATGGGAATTCTGCCATAGTCTTGAACCATTAATACCGTTTTTAAAATGGTCTCACTTTTTAAAACTTGAACACATTTACTTAAAAAGAAAGTATATTGTGACTATACATTAAAAATCAGTATCACCTGTAAGAACCAGAAGGTGACCCTAAAATGAGACAATGTGAGAATGAACTCATGTTGTTAGATTCTAGCAACTTCCGCTCAGGGGAGATCCTGAAACGGAGATTCTTCTTTTTTTTTTTTTAAAGATTTTATTTTATTTAATTATTTGACAGAGAGAGATCACAAGTAGGCAGGGAGGCAGGCAGAGAGAGAGAGGAGGAAGCAGGCTCCCTGCTGAGCAGAGAGCCCCGATGTGGGGCTTGATCCCAGGACCCTGAGATCATGACCTGAGCTGAAGGCAGAGGCTTAACCCACTGAGCCACCCAGGCGCCCCCTGAAATGGAGATTCTTAAGGCAGTTACCTAAAAGTGGAGACTGGTATGAGTTAGAGAGATAGGAGGAAACTGGGTAGCCCAAATCTCACCTCCCTGCCCCTGGGGCGGATCCTACCGTTCCATCCAGAGGAATGAAGCACAATTTAAAAGGGAGTGATTCTCTTATTACGCGGCTCACTTTCACTAACTGCCATGTCTACGCACCACCCCAAGTCCTGTGTCTGCCACCCTTTGGGAAACACAGACCTCATCCCACTTCCTGTCCTTCTCTGGAGTAACAGCGGAAAGGTTAGGTGAAAAGCTCAGATGGCTTGTGATGTGACGGGCGTTGGCAAGTCTGTAGACCAGGACTACTGCTTCCTAACTGGGAAACCGAGGCAGCTAGATCCGTCTCAACTGCTTCCTCTGGGCAAAGAGCAAATGATCAGATACTGACTTTAGAATCATCACTCTTTGTCCTCAAAAGGGCCAGGTCAATGGGCGAAATCTGCCCACTGGGTCACATGGAAGGAATCCTCTCCAGCAGGAAGAAGGAGTTTGAATGGTCTCTTTTCATAAACCCACGGTTAACTGGAAATGGTTAAAAGCAGAGCACAGATCCCCTTGCTCCAGCAAGCAAACAAGTGTTAAAAGGAAGTCGTCCTGTGGATGTCCCCGCGAGCACGGAGCACCACTGTGACCGGACTAGCTCAGAACATAGGATTACACCACTGACGTTTTATGGATGTGCTCTTAAAGAAAGGCACTCCCCTCCTGCTTGTAAAAACCCGCATTTTCACTTCCAAATTAGTTAACTGGGCATCCGGTTACAGGGCTTGCTCTCGGTTTTAAAGGGGAAAACATTGTTTGTATTTGTTTTATGAAGTTGGAAATAGGTGACAGGAAATTGTGGTTCTCTTTCTAGGGACTTGCTTTAGTTTTTAAGCTTTTGCTTCACTGACTCAAATTTATTTTTGAGGCTGCCGAATTATCCCTTTTGATCCAAATACGGGCAAATAAAGACTAAAATAGCACCTACTCAATTTCCCCGGAGATCAGGCTTGTGGGTGGGAGTAGTCGGTAGAAAGCTGGGGTCTAGTTCCCTGGAGGAGTTATTTCTCCTTTCAATTTAAAATCATTTAAAATGCAATCAGCTAAGTGAACAATTCCATTCTAGGGGATGACTGTTTTAAAAAACCAGATATTTCAAAAATTCATTTCCAGTGTCCAAACCTAAGCCCTTCAAGCAGGATGATCTTTTCAAAAATGTATGCATGGATTTTCCCTTTATGAGCAATTCGACTTCAAAGATAAGAAACGCCTCATTACAGTGTCTTCTATCGGGGTTCAGGAAAAAAGGACAGCCTGCAAGCCAGCCTTCCAGGTGTACAAATGGTGAGCGAGCAAAGCCGGCCTTTCAACGACAAAAACGCAGATGTTCAGAGCCGCAAAGCTGGATATGTGACTTCTACCACAGCATAACGTGGAAGACTTGCCCACTTACTTAACATGAAACGATGTTGAGAATGCCAGGGAATCATGTTTTTGCAAGGCTTGACCTTGGACTGGCCCGGGGAATCGCAATCAGCTGAGGGACTTGGGCAACCAGCACATTCTTCTTCAACTAGGAAAACCTAGGCTTGAGCTTTTAACTTTTAGGGATGCCCCGAACGGCTAGTTGTGCCAGGCTCGGAGATGAATCCAGTCCATAAATGAGATCTGCTTTCTGGAAAGTGTCGGGCCGTGTCTTTTGGCTCTCATTAAGGAAGCTAAAACCTAAAATGGGCCGGTGTTTTTCTTCGGAGACCTCACTGATCACAGCATTCTGATTATGGAGAAGGTGAACAATTCACAGGACCTTCTAAGACAAGTCCTGCTAAGGCCCCCGGGGGCTCCTCCTTACCTCATTGTCATGCGGCGGCAGCTGGTGTAGTAGCTGCTTGATTCGAAGCTTTTCTCCGGGGCTGTTGACGTATGGAACCTTCTCTTCTGGGAGACAGCTGTAGTACTGATGAACCTGTAGGATGCAAGCACATGGGTCACTGCCCGTCCCCACTTCCCCCCAGGGAAGAGGATTCCAGCAGCAGGACACATTCGACTTCCCGTCGTTTCCACCCTCCTGCAACTTAACAGCATCTGCCTTTCTCACTGCAAGCAGACAAATTCATCCTTGAAGAAAGAGTGGAGCCAATCACCCATATCTTGGGGCTTTCCCCTGTCTTGCTAGGGAAAAATAAAGCTAGTACACTTTCCTAGAAAAAGAGAATTCGGCAGATAGGCGGCGAGGGGGGGGGCGCCCAGAGGGTAGAGTTTTGTCGGCAGGCTCCCCACCCTGAGAGAGACAGAGAGAGAGAGACAGAGACAGAGAATGAGAGAGAGAGCAACTTTACCATTTTCTCTGTGAGTCTCCGGCATGCGCCGTGCCTCCCTAGCCAAAGGGATGTGTCAGTGCCTGCCTCACACTGAAGTCAGAGCCAGGCTCTGGCACTCGCTGAGCGGCTGGGTCCCTTGGCCTCCACCTACACTAAAAGCCCTCTAGGTTTTGAGTGCTCTGTAAGGACAGGTAGCAGTTTCCAACTGTCTGAAAAGAGAGTCACTACATCTGGGATACTGAGTACGTAATTACAAATGGTCATTGACGGGTATTTCTGCACATCCCAGAATGCTCCTGTTTACGGCTGTTAGGACATATTCTTGTCCTTTCTGGGGCTTATTCAGCTCTAACAAAGACTTGGGAAGTCATCTAATTTTGCCTAAGAGAAGAAAACAGACATTCTGTTCTCCAGCTGTATGCAAAACTTGGGTCAGGAAAAACTGGCCAAAACAGAAGGTATGCTATTATACAGGAGGGGCAACAACAACAACAACCAAAAAAAAAAAAAAAAAAAAAAAAAAAAAAATCCCACAAGCTCAGATGACATCATGGAAAATTCTTTCCAACTATCTCTTAGCATCATGACCAGCTCTTGCGAAACAAGGCATTCATTCAACAAGACACAGAAGACAGAAGACTTGAGGCTCTAAATTCATTCTATTTGTTCCACTCCGCAAACTTGGTCTAATTCCCTTGAGTTGAGGGAGCCCCGGACATGAATACATGTTTGGGGAATGCTGGGGCAAAGAGCTATGAAAGCTCTGTCTACTTTTATCTCCAGAAAGGAGATCATAACTCTTAAAAGGTGGGAGGAGGGAAAGGCTTGGCAGCGACAAGGCCTTCAGGAAGATGCGGAAGCCATCTTTATTTTCGTAACACACGACTGTAACCATTCACCATCATGAGCATATTCCTGTCTCAAGCAAAGCCCGAAGGCAACCGTAAACAGACTGCTCATAGACTAGCTGGCTTTCTCAAGACAGGGCCAGGGCCATGCAACCCCTCCCTAGAGGCATCTGGTGGGGAACCGCATCCTGGGATGGGAAGGAAGGGCTCCAGGTTTTGAAAGCAGCCCACAGGTTACCAGCACTCTCTCTGAGAAGAAATGAAAGCCCAGATCATGAGTTAGTTTGGGAGGAGGAGCTGGCCGTGGGCCCATCAGAGACCAGCACCCCACTTTGTGCTCAGAGTGATCTATGCATCACACGCCACAGCCAGTAAGTGCAGGCAGAAAGCTGAGCCCTGTGTCTTGAGGAATGGGTCTCACACCCCAAGCTGAGAGACTGCTGGTAGCAAAGCCTTGCTGCAATGTCCCTTTGTCATTCTCACGCTAGTGACAGAACCTTAGGGACGGATGCTACTAAGAAAGGAAAATCACTGGAGTTGCTTGACAGGAGAGTCCAATCTGAGTGCAATGGACCCTCTCCCGACTCACCCTTCGGGACTCACACACCCCTCTTTGCCGCCCAGAGCATGGGCATCCCTGAGAGCCCCTGTGACCTGGCACCTTGAGCCCAGTCTTTGCTGACACCGGCCAAGGCTGAGCCTGGTTGGAACCTTTCTTGCCTCTTGGGCAGCTGTTTGTGAAACCCCATTCACAGCTCTGTCACTTCCCATCGCTGTGTTCCTGAGTGAATTCTAGAACCTCTCAGAATCCTCATCACAGGACTGCAATTCAACAAGAGTGAGGGCGAAGAACTTGGCCCTCCATAACAATAAGCAATATGAACACATAGTGGGGAGTCCATTATCTGGCCCGCAGGCTCCCAAGGGAACGATCCAGATTTTCCTGGCCTCTCTTCCATTTCGAGAGGCAGAGCCACACTACCAGCTTGCAGAGTGAGACCAAACCTGGAGGCCCCCAACTACCTTAATCTAAGAAAGAAGGTGGCAAGGAGGGAAAATGTTATTTAAGATAGTTTGATTTCAGAGGGGAAAAAAAAGGCAGATTCTTACATAGGTGTGGTGTTCTCTCAAGAAGCCCAACAGAACTGTAGGTTCTTAAGAGGAAATGGGACCAGCTACTGAAAAGTGACCGGTAAGGGATTCTCATCTCTCTATGTTCAGTGTCCTCTTATCTCTGCCTTAGTCTTCTTCTCCTGCAGATTTGTCCCTTAGCTTCTCAAAGTTTAAAGACTCCCACAGCACCTATCTTACACAACCTCCCTTTGCATCCATCCTTGACTGACTCACTTGGCTCTATTTTATAAGTCGCCAGAGAAGGACCCTGCTTACCCCAACTGGGGCAAGGTCCACACCTGCAGACTGGATTGGAGAAGTTCCATCCTGTTTTGAGACTGGAGATAAAGGCGTCCCAACATGTCAGGGCAGGGCAAAGCAGAGTCGGCTGTGACTGGAGACCTCGTTGGGACCGGGAGCTCAGTAAATACGCTGGCACCCTGAGGTCCGTCTTAAAGACTTGGAATTCTTACGTCAACAGAGGCAGTGACTACTCTTTAAGAACACAGCTCTATCTTTCCTGACTGGGTATCTTGTGTTGCCTTTTATAATTCAAGCCAATGGATCAATGCAGCAGAAAATATGTTCTTCTACCAGCATTCGGTAATTCCATGTATACAGAATGTACTAAAAATAGTTCCTCAGGAGGCAGTCAACAGTTTGGTGGACGACTTAAAAACTTACCAAGTGAAATGCACCATTATGAAACCAAATCAGCTCATATTAAGTAACAACCTCCCCCAATCATCCTCACATCACGTGGTAGGTGATCTGGCCTGCTCTGAGGATGGGGAATGAGTTGGTTCTTCACCACTTCTCTTAGGTCTTCCACCCCATGGCTTCTGTGCCTCCTCCTGGTGTTCCAGAGCTTGGGAAGTCCAAGCTCTTCCTTAAGCAAAGGGATGGGAAGGATGGAGAAACTCCCCTCTCAAATTCCCAGTCTGGCTCTGGCAAGACAGAACTGCTGCATGTAGTTTCCTCTGGCATCCTCCAAAAGAAAACTACTGCGTAGCCCAAAACAAACCCACAGCAAACCATCGGTAAAGGGAAAATATTTAGTGTACTTTCTGGCACTACGGAAATTAAATTTGGCACCACCCCTGACAACCCTGCAGATTGCTCATTTTTTGTCCAACCATGTTTCTCTCGCTAATTTTCACAAGCAAATAATCAAATTCAATAGGATTTTGTCAATGGTGACCATTAACGAGCACTATCTGCCATGGTGATCATTTTTTCCTCCTGTGTGTACTGAGTATCACTCTCCAAAAGCAGGACTTTGGAATGGGCTAGAAACTCCATTCCATTTATTCATCACTCAGGTAGAGGTGCCCTGTGCTACCTGCACCTTGGGTTGAGCTGTAGGAGGTATGCTTCCTGCAAACAAAAGCATTTTGCACACAATCCACTGGCTCAGGAAAATGAGATAGCTGAAGGCCTTTATTTACAATGTCACTCCCCACAGCGAGGTTTGGCAAGAACTTCAGTCTGTGTCAGATGGATTGCAAGAGCTTTAGTCAGTGTGCAAATAAATCTACAAAGCGAGGCCTCACCCAGTTTGAAAGACTGGGTTTGTTAGAAGGAACTGCACATTTGACAGCATATCTGCCTGGGCAGAGATGGAAGGGAGGGAGTCAAATGACTCCCTGTTGGAGAGCAAGGTGTGCTAATTAAAAAAAAAAAAAAAAAAAAGTGCAAAGTGCTTCATTAGAGCAGTGGTTCTCAAATTTTAGCTTGCATCAGGACCACGTGGATGGCTTCTTAAAACACATTTCTAATTCCACAGGACTGGGGTGGGGTCCAATGGTTCGCATTTACGCTGCCTTTTCCTGTAATGCCTCCACTGGGGGTCCAGGGAGCACGTTCTGAGATCTGTAGAGCCGTGGGACTGTTTTCCCTCAACAGCCAACCCCGTGAGGTTGCCCGGTAGATGATGGTGATCCTGTGTTCTCCAGGAGATCCAGGAGGCCCAGGGGAGGGGAGGGGACTTGTTGACTCTCACTTAATTTGGCAGGTGTCTCCTGCCACACCTACAGACATGCTTAAGAAGGGGGAGTCCACCAGCTCCAGCAAGGATAAGAAATTCTAAGGGCAAAATGCTTCTCTTATTGGGTGGGACATTTTCCATATCAAAAGCATCCTGTGTTCTTAAGAGTGGGAACCCAATAGAGAAGTCAGATTTCCCTGGTTGGTCTCAGATTCAGCTGTCCTTCACCCTCTCAATGAAGGAAGGGATCAGTGAACGTATTTATTTACGGAATGGCTCTTAGGGCAGACGTGTTTTTATAGACAGTATCTCGTGAACCCATCCCATGCCCTGGAGGCTGCTACATTGTACTCATTAGACTGAGCATCGCATAACTAAAAAGGGGGAAAACATTTTTTCGACTTGGTTTCCTTATCCTTTCCTGTTTTTTTTGGATTCTTGGCCTTCTTTATCAAGAAAAAAAGAGGGGCACCTGGGTGGCTCAGAGGGTTAAGCCTCTGCCTTGGCTCAGGTCATGGTCTCAGGGTCCTGGGATCAAGCCCCACATCAGGCTCTCTGCTCAGCGGGGAGCCTGCTTCCCCCTCGCTCTCTGCCTACCTCTCTGCCTACTTGTGATCTCTGTCTGTCAAATAAATAAATAAAATCTTTTAAAAAAAAAAAAAGAAGAGAAAAAAAGAGACTGGCAGATGGATGGGAA